TATAGATAATCATAAAGGATGAGCAATCATTATTTTTGACTATTAAAAATTTAATAAGATTTGAAGGTTAAAAAAAAATCTTAATTAGAACTTAATGAAATATAAGCTTATAAATTAAAACTTGTGTGTAAATGTCCCTTTATTAATTTCTATTGCTACTTGTGATCATGAGACATGACAGTCGATGATTGGTTAGAAGTAAGAACATTTTAGGTAGTGTTTGGTAGAGTTTTGTAAATGTGATTTTAGAGTATGAGTTGTATTTTGAGTTTGTGTGTTGTGAAATTATGATTTGAGTGTGAAAAATTTATTTAGTAAAGATTTTTGAAAATAGTTTTGAAAAGAATTTTGATTTGAGTGGGAAATTGTTGATGTGACATTTGATATGTAATACAAAAATTTACAACTCATAACTAAACATACAACTCAATTATTTTAAAGCACGTAAAAAATTTTAAAAATTTCAGAAAATATTTTTTTCAATTATATAAATCAATTGAAAAAAAAAATTTACTATTCCGGTCAACCGGCCGGACGTCCCGTAAGGCAAAATTTTGAAAAAAAAATAATCTAAAAAGCGCAACTGTGCAGAGAACTTTGCGTGTTTTGAAAACATGTTCCAAACACCATTCTGAAATCACTATGTAAAATCATATTTCAAAAGCACAAACAAACAGAGTCTTAATGTTTCTTAAACATTTGATCTGTCTAATAACTTTTCACCATGAATGCGTGCCAAATGATTTTTAATAAATTATATTGATTTTTTTTTTGAAAATTGAAAAAAATAGATCTCTTATAATTTTGAAATAATTACATTAAATAATATTAAGGAGTGTAAAAGAATTAAAATGTATGAAATTAATTCATACATGTTACACTAATTTTTTGTGTTGTTTTTTTTTTTTTTCAAAATTTCCAACCATTTTCTTTATTTTCTGATTTAAATAGAAAAAGAAAAAAGGAAAAATAACCTGACAGTGGATGTTAAGAAAAATAATTACAAAAAAAGTAAGAAATATTATAAATATTAATAATTAAAAGAGAGATTTATTTATAAATCTTATGTAAAGGACTTATAACCCAATAAATTCATAAAGTATTATTGTGTTTCACTTAATTCCATACATTTAAACTTATATTTCAATAGGCCATTTTTCTCATTTTAGAAGTCTTATATGGACTATTTTACCCTTATAAACTTTTATTATAATATATATATATATATATATTATATCATATATATCTAAGATAGAGAAAATTATTATTAGATATATTTCATTTATGATATATATAAAATACTGTATATAAATATAGAAGATTATTATTATTAGCATTTTCTTTGCCTTTATGTGAGGGATTCACATGATCAAATATCTTTATGCACTATTATTTTACAATAAGGTCCTATCATGGAAGAACATTTGAAAGAGAAGGTTAATTATACATGTAGACCAATAATAGAGATGATGATGAACTCGCAACAGAAATGATGGTAAATCGATAATGAACAATCGTTTTTTTGCCATTATTATACATAAATTGTAATCTCTTCATCGGCTTGTTTAGTCATCGATATTGTACAGTTTATTCGCTGGTATTATGCCAGAGTTGATTATATACATATTTTTCTAAATATGTGCATCAATACATATGAACTATTTGATATTTTTTATATATTGTTTGATGATTTGTTGTATATTAATTGTTACTATGCTTTTTGATTGAGCAATCATTTTTATTGCCATTGAACAATCGAAATAGTTAATTTTTATTTTTAAAATTTTGTTTTATGTTTTTACGTCACAGTGTAAATGTTTACATTGATATGATTTTAATTTTTTTTGTAAGGCTAATTATATGCTAATTGTAAACTGTGAACATTCATATTGTATTGTGGTATAAATTTTATTTTTTTAAAAGTTAGTTGTATGTTTGTCATTTTTGTTACTATGTTTGTTGGTTGAACAATTAAAATAGTCGTTTTTATTTTTTTCAATTTTATTTTATGATTCCATGTTGTAGTGATGTTCAAATTGGTATGAATGTAGCCTTTTAAGGGTTGTATGTTAATTGAAAACTGTAAATATTCATATTGTATTTTGATATGAGTTTTATTTTTTTGAAAGTTAGTTATATGTTTATTATTTATTGTAAACATTCACATTGTACTTTTGTATGTATTTTATTTTTTCAAAGGTTATAGTAATCATACTAGGACAAACATAGTGTACATAGAAATGTGAATGCTCACATTAATTTTGTAATAGAAATAGGTAATTGCACCTAATGTAAATGTTCACAAGTTCATGTAACATTGAGTGTGTGTATGGTTCCATGAAGAGATGTTATTTATTAATATGCATTCATAATATGATAGTTCACATCAACATTTAGTGAGAGATTTTTAAAAAGTAGATAATTTAGAATTTTGAGAATGTGAGAGATTTTTTTGTGAGGAACAAGTGAGATTTTTTCCCCTACAATGGGGGAGAGTTTTTCTTCATGGAATAAGGGAGAGATTTTCTACCTAGAACGAGGAGATTTTTCTTAAGGGAAATGATTTGGAGCCCTAAAAAAGCCCCCCCTAATCCCCCTAATCCCCAAAACGACGTCGTTTTGGGGAAATTTTTTTTTTTTTTTTTTTTTTTTTGCCTTGGTCTCAATTTTCGGGGGATTAGGGCTCCCCAAATTAGGGGATGTAGCACGGCCCTTTTCTTAAAATGATGAGACATTATCTCCATGAAATAAGGGAGATATTTTCTTCATAGAATAAAGAATTGTTGTTATGTGTGTATAATTTCAAAAAAAGAAACATGCGCAGAAAGTTAGAAGGTTGATTTGGTCATATTCACTACGTCAAAATTGGGCTTTAGCGGCGGTTTTTTACCACCGTTAAAGGATATGAAACTGCCGTTAAAGTCTTTAACGGCTGTAATTTAGGACCGCCGTTTATACGGGTGTCAGAAAAGGTACAACCGTCGTAAAATGGTAAATTATCGTTGTTAAAAGTCGATCAAAAACGGTAGTAATATAGGACCAAAAATGGCGGTTCTTTACCTTCGTAAATAGGTTCAAATTTTTTTAAAAATAATTCTCTCTTCTTGCACCCCCCAAGCTTTGGGGCCGTGACCTTTAATTCATGCACACCAACCACTACACCACAGCCACTCTATATGAAATATATTTCCTAAATAAATATTTAAACATTACTTTTGCTTTATTGTAGATGGTCATATTCAATCTCTGGCCACGCGTGGTCACCACACGCCGGAGCTCCGTCGGTAAAGACCGCCGTCATTAACGGCGGTAATGAGAGGGCTTTAGCGGTGGTTTCGTTACCGCCGTTAAAAGAGGGCTTTAGTGACAGTTTTTTTAACGACGATTTCATTACTGCCGTTAAAGATACTTTAGCGGCGGTTTTTTAAACGGCGGTAACGAAATCGCCTTTAAAGATACATTAATGGCGATATTAACAGCGGTTTCGCTACCGCCGTTAATAGTATCTTTAACGGCGGTAACGAAAATCGTCATTAATACCCTGTTTTGGCGTAGTGATTAAACTAAATAAGACCTAATGAAATACTAAAGAAGAATATAAATTAGATGGAACATAAATCTTAAAATTGAGATTTACTAAAAAAATTTCCTAATTAAAATTATATTTTTTTTATTAATACATAATTAATTTTGACGACGCCACTTCAATGTAATTGTCTCCCCCCCCCAAAAAAAAAATAATAATAATAATAATAATAATTAGTGAGTGATAACTTCTTACACATGATCGTAAGAATTTGTACTAATTAGGAGACAAATATAGAGAACCTAGACAAGCCCATCATACGACATGTGAAATTCACAATCATTGGTTTTTTTTTTTTTTTTTTGATAGCCGGTTTTCTTAATCAATATGTGCACACACACCTCAACAAATTTTAAAGTTCTCAGGTTAATGACAAGATAAATTTTTAGTGATTTCTTTTGGTGATTTAAATCTTGAGATAAACTTTAAGTTATATACCAACTCGACAATACGAGTACTACAACCTAAAAATCCATAAACTCTCTTTAAAAAAAACACCTTAAATTGCTATACAGTCTAACATCAGAATATAAGTTTAACTACTCAAAAGTTGTATCAGAAAAATGATTCAACGTATATGAAAATTTGAAATTCCAATGATATATTATGGAATTTATATATAAATTAAATTTAGAACACATATTAATATTTTTAGATAAAAGTTTTTAAAATATAATATTACCACCATTAAAAACATAAAAACTTAGGGATAAAGAAAACGGCAAGAGTCCCACCATTAAAAGGTTCCTTATGTGCTTAGATTTTTGTGAAAGAAACTTTTTTAAATGCTTTTTTTTTTTATTTTTTATTAGCAAATGTTTGTTGTTACATTAATACTTATGGAAGAAAATATTTTTTTCCTTGACAAAGGAATTCAATCCCTCCAAGAGAAATTGAACCCACAACCTTCTTGGGATTAAGCCCTAAGGAAGGTATGGTGTTGGTTGAAACTTTTTTAAATGTTGAATCATAAAAATATATTTTAAATTTTATCTTGAAATAAAATATATATTATATAAACTTAAAATCAACCAAATATGGACTCCCCTTATACATTTTTTTTTTAAATAATTTTTTTAAGTATATAATATTATTGTAACAAAAATGTAAAAAGGAAACAAAGTACACCAACCTTGTGTGTCCTTAATTGGGACACGAAATTCATTACCATCCATGCAACCCCCGCTAGACCTCTCTTCCCCCCTATTAGTACTTGCTGAATATGTCTCCTGAAGTTGAAAATGATTCTTCAAAGACCAATCTTCATCAATCTCAGAGTCTCCGAAAAGAAAACTCGACTTATCATAAAAAAAATTAGTATTAATAAAATTATAATGAACAGATTAATATGATTAAAATTTAACTAGTGTATTTTTAAAATTTATATAAAAAATGAATCTGAATCACATAATTATGATTTTAAATAAACTTTTGAGTATATAATATTACCGTCTTCAAAAATTATTCTCATAAATATATCCTTGATTTCTAGAGAACCTAAGTGGGTCTCAATAGATACGCACACTTTCAAATAAAAAACAACACTCAATTACCACCCTACACACAACACACATAACTAGCTAGTCTTAACATTAAGATTTACACTTGAAACCATTCACACTTTTCTTCTGAAGCCTATCACACACCTATTTCCTTAATTATCTCAATCCAAACTTAATATGGAGAGTTTTTGCAAGTACCAATTCATTAATTAATAATTATGTAAAGAACTTTAGAAAAATCCTGAATTTGAAGGACGAAGGTCGATCTCTTGGGTCCAAGCAGTCCGGTCTTGAGTGTGCAAGTGCCAGTAGGTCTGAGCCAGCGCGTCTGGGTCCATTGACCCATCCCCTCCACCGTTCTGTTGCTGCTGCTGCTGCTGTTGGTGGTGGTTTTGGTGGTGAGGCCCAACCAACAATCTTTGCTGCGATGTCGACGGTGCCCTGAAACAATTCCACATTATCCACCTCCACCTCTCAATTTATTAGCTAAATCATTTCTTGGGCTACCCCTGATTTATACTATATATATAAGCTACACCTACATGCAAATGTGAAATTTGGCTTATAGAGAGTAGTAATTTTTTAGACAAAACTAGGGTTTTAATCAGCTAAGCTGGTAGTGAAGAATCACGATCACCTACACTATTATGTACTACTTTCCTATGTCTCTTTATATTTTATTAATTTATAAAATTGTTTATGTCAATAAAATTTTTTCTACAAATTAACAAGATTTAAAACGAATATATGAAATGGGACAAATTATCTCACCACCATTTTATGTCCTTGTTTTCGACCTGTTTCTATTTTATTAGCTTATAAAATTATTGATGTGAATAAAACTAAGGACCTGAATCACCTCTAGTCTGTGTAATCACCTCTCTCAACACGTTTAACATGTTAGGTTCTATTTATCTTTGGAGTTCCAAAAGAGCAAAGAAAAAAATGAAAAAAAAAAAAGAAGAAAAATGAAGAAGTGAGATTTGACATTGAGGGAATCTCTGAGTCATGCGGATATGATTTATAGAAAATTCAGAAGACAAAAAAAGTTGCAAAGGGACAAACCTGGGCGAGCCGACGATACCGTCAATGATAACATGAGCCACGTGTACTCCCATCGGCTGAAACTCTCTCGCCAAGCATTGCGCCAAACCTCTCAACGCAAACTTCCCACAACCTTCACGTCGCCAACAACAATCACAATTTAATACTTTAATATATATATATTTAACTACTCAAAAGTTGTATCAGAAAAATGATTCAACGTAACTCTTTTTTAATTATGAATTTATATAAAAATAAATAAATAAATAAAAATATAATATAATTATATTTTATTCATATTCCGTTCATATTTTTCATTCTCTATGCAAACAACTAGCATGCGTTCTTAATAGTGAATGAAATAGCAGACAAGAAGTGGTTGAACACCCCCAAATATTAATCTAGCAACTAATGACTTAATTAGCATGCGTCCTTAGTAATGAATGAAATAAGAGACAAAAAGTGGTTCAACACCCCCAAATACTAATCTAACAACTAATGACTATTAATTTTTGCTGATAAAAAAAATCCATAATTCAAACCATATGATTTTGAATGAATGAAAATGAAATTACATAATTCGGAGTAACCAGCAATGCCGTTGAGAGAAGCTGAACATCCAGTGAAGAGAATTGTGCCTCTTCCTCTATCCACCATGCCAGGCAGTACCTTCCACCAATCAAATTCAACCAAAATCAACTGCGGAGGAGAGAGAGAGGGAGAGAGAGAGGGGGGGGGGGGGGGGGGAAAAGCGAAGAAATTCACCTGTTGGGAGCAGTGGAAGGCGCCGACGGAGGAGACGGCGATGGATTTCTCGAAGGCGTCGAGGCGAATGTCGGCGAAGTTGGAAGGGTGGCAAGAAGAGACTGGCTGGTACGCATTGTAGACTAAAACTTCAACAAACCCTAGGGATAGAACACCTTCGAATGCCTCTCTTATGCTCCGAGAATCGGAGCAGTCGATTCGGATTGCGAACACTTGCGCTTTCTCTTCTCTAGCGATTTCGTCAGCGAATCTTGATAATCTGCCTGTAAAAATCAGTACTAATTCAATGAGGAGAGAGAGAGAGTAAAAAGAGAGAGGAGAGGAGACGAAAGGGAGAGGGAGTTGCCTAGGTCGCGGGCGAGGATGGCAACGGTGTAGCCTTCGTGAGCGAACTTGCGGGCTATGGAGCGGCCGAGGTTGGGGCCGACGCCGACAATGGCGGCGATGCCTCGGGAGGAGGCGGAGCTCGCCATGCTTCGCATCTTGTGACTGTTGATTATGAGAGAGAGAGAGAGAGAGATTGAGATCGGTGATGATACTTGACAGACAAATCAAATGCCGTGAAAATCGATCTCGTAAAAAAGCTTGGTGGTGGTGGTGGTGGTGGTGGGCGGAGGAGCTGTGTGTGCTGTGCTCGTCGCTGTCTGAATCTATGGGAACAACGTGTAAGCTTCTAGAATTTGCCTCTTTTAATCACTCACTCTATCTCTCTGTGAACTTTTTTTTTTTGAACCAGGTTTTGTTTGTGAGCTTGGGAACCGATTTGAAAAAAGTGAAAAAATAAAATGTGAAATATGTGTAAAATATAATTATATTTTGCATATTTTTTATTTTTTTTTTTTTCAAATTTTTTCTTAAATCTATGTATTAAACCCAATCATATCATATGATCTTACTACAAATTAGTATAACATTATTATAAATTTTTTTAACATTAATCATAAAATTAATTATCTTATCACAAAGTGTAACAAAATATCTAAAATTTTGTTGTTTATGTAACAAAAATTTGTGATTTTATTACGATATTTTTTGTTATGCCAATTTATGGTAAGTTACTCATTTTATAATTAATGTTACTAAATTTTGTGATAAAATAATATCAATTTGTAATAAAATACATGTAATATGATATACCCCCAAGAAAAGGGCACAACATAGAATTTTCCATCTCTTTATTAAAAATTTCTCTCTTCCATTGTAGTAGTGTGGCAGATAAGTAACATAATTTAATACTACAACAATTATAATTAAAAAAAATGATTTATAACTAAATAATTTTTGAATCATTACTAATATTATAATGTATCATAACCAACAATATAGTAAGTCATAATCAAATATATAAAGGTTGTAATCAAAAGTGCATGTGTACCATAAAATTTCCCTAATGAATAGATAAACAACCAAGTACTATAATTTTACAATATTGCTATATTCATCGAATTTGTGTATGTCGATCGTCTGGTCGGTCATCCGAGTATATGCCGATTGACACACCGGTAGATAAGGGTGACAATCACGGTTGACAAAAGTGATTCCAATCGTCCAGGCGGTCGTTTGGGGGTCATCCGGCCAGACGTCTAGCTTATGTAATTCAGGCGAACTCAAATTTGATAAATCAATTATTTTTCATAATTTTATCAATAATAATATGATAAATTATTTGTCAATTATAATTTTAAATCACTACATTGCAATACATGATGATATTGATAGTTGGATTTCAAAATCTAGGCTATTGGCCGGTACATATAAAAAAATTAGATATTGTAGCCTTCGTTTGCCATGTCAGATTTTTTTACAAAATGACAAAATAAGTTTTTTTTGTCCAATAAGACACAATATCATATCTAACTCATAATTATTTTATTTTTTCTCTCATAAAAGTCAAAAAAAGTCAAAAAGTCTATCTCAAACGAAATTTTTTAACCCTAGACTAAAAAATTAAAAAGTCAATCCACATCCTAAACGAACCCTTAATTATGAATTTTTAAAAATCATTAATAGGATGTGTTGTTAATCGTAATGACTATGATTTGACAAGTAACGGAGTCGATGAATTTAACTTCAAAATTGATTCACAGCATAATATTGAAATGTATCCGACTCGAGATCTTGAAAAGCCATTGCATACCAATTTTTAGAATAATAGGGTCAATTTTTAGTTTATTATCAATTTAATCATGTAAGACTCAAGTATCTTGTTATTGTGGGTAAATTGTAGGCATCTGGATTTCTAATATTTGTATTAGTTAAGAAAGACTTGCAGAAAACTCCCAACTATGATCTTATAGCAATGAAGAGAGAGGTAGTGTTGGAAAAATGGTTTAATATAGGTATATTTTAAGCCAATTTTGAGTCCAAAATTGAGTGGGCCCCAAACGTCTATTGGGGTAGGTCCGAAGAGGTGAAGTGTTCCTTGCCGCGTGGCAAGTCACACGGTAAAGACGGTTCGTCAAAATCATTTATGAGTGAATGTGAAATTGACGTCGTTTTCGGGTTCGTGGAGTTGAACATTTAAGTTTTAAATGTGGGTTTCCTTGTGAGGGTTGTCTCACATTAAAACTTTAAGAGAGTTTATTTGTGTATATAAGCTCTAGCCTACAACACTTGGGTTGAGCCCCAAGGGGCACCCCAAGTTTGTAGAAGGGAGGAGTTATGGACAAAGTGAACCTTAGCCCAAACCACCACACGCGCGGGCACGCCGTCCGTGTCGTGCACGGTTGTGGGTCGGTTCAGTTCTAACATTAATTTTTTGGACAAAATTTATTTGAATTTTTTCCAAATTTCTTGCGGAAAAAATTAATTTAAATTTTGTATTTTTATAATTTGAATTTGAATTCAAGTTTTAGTCCAAAATTTGTGCCTCCTACAGTTCAAATTCCATACAGAATCTGCCAAACAGATTCATTACAGAAACTCCCCGGACAGTTACAGTAACTGTATCTGTTAGTTACAAAATCAAATCTGTCCGTAACAATGCAGTAGTTATAAACAGATTTGTTTGAATTTCAAACAGTATCTGTTCAGTTTGAATTAACACATGTTCACTTCCTTGTTGTACCTGTTCGGGCCTGCTCTTTTGTCTATATATAGAGGCCATTTCTGCAGTGTTTTGAATGCTGAAAATGGACAGAAAATTTTATTTTCTTGCTATCCAATTTTTTCCATTGCATTATTAATTATTCATTCTAGTTTTAGAGTAAATCCAAAGAGAGTATAGAACACAAGGTTCTAGTTCGCCGGACAAATTTGTTTGAAGTGCTTCTACAAATTTGGGAAGATCATTGTTTCCTGGGAGATAGACACCACTTAACCGTAAGCACCGTAGCAGGGCGAATCTGTCTTAAGGACAGAGTGTCACACACTCGACTTGGTCTTTTAATTTTTATTTGGTTCGACAAAATAAATTCTGTAAGTTTTTATTTTATTTTGTTTGATGTAGTTTTCATTTATTTTATTTACATAGAAGATTGTTCCAACAGGTAGAACAAGAAAAACAACAAGCGCTCAACAAGCAAGATGGTAGATGGATTCCAGTGGTAAAATAGAGGGGAAGACAAACAAATCAAGTTAGGTCGAAGGAAGGTAGGCATGCAGGGACGTATACTCTGTTTGTAGATAACTTACCAAAGTCAATGGCTCCAAGAAGCATGTATGCTTTGTTTCTAAAATTTGGCATAGTAAAGGATGTCTTAATTCCACAAAAGAAGAGGAAAACAACAAACACAAGGTTTAGGTTTGTACGTTTTGATTGTCCTGTTATAGCCAGTGTAGCAGAACAAAAGGCAAATGGACTATGGGTAGCTAACAAAGCTTTGATAGTTCAAAGTGCAGTGTATGAAAAAAAAAAGGGTGACAGGATGAGGTCGAAACAAGTATAGCGGAGGCAAATGAAGACAAGAAAACTATCAGATATAAATGGAACAAAAAAGTGGAATCAATGCATTGATGGGAGGTCGTACGTAGAGGTCATACAAGGAGCCCAACCAAGAGGTCAAACCACTACTAGAATCAGAGTTGAAGAAATAGGAAATGGCTGGCTGTATGCGAGCATGATTATGAGGCTTAAACCCAACTACTGTGCCTTGGAGGTAAAAACAGAACTCAAAGAACAAGGAATGGAGGATGTAATGGTGAGAGAATGAGGAGGGCGTGATGTAGTCCTATCATTCAACTCTAGGGAGGCTTTGAAAAGTTCAATTAGTAAGCTTAATGTTTGGTTCCAGGACTGGTGTGAATACATCATAGAATGGAAAGCAAGAATGCAACTTCAGCATGAGAGGTCTGTTTGGATTAGCTGCTATGGTGTATCTCTGAATCTATAGAATTCCAATACCTTCAGAAAGATTGGCCGACTTTGGGGGGAATGGCTCCAACTAGATCGAGATATTTGTGAACCAATATCCTTTTGTTGTGGAAAGATCAAAATAGCCACAAGTGTTATGGAACTGATCAATACCAGTATGAATCTAGAATACAAATGAAGAGTATATCCAATACGAGTCTATAAGGAACAGATTATCAATGAGGTACCAACCAATTGCAAAGGTATCAACACTGAAGATGGAGAAAAGGGTGTCAGCTCCAATGCTAACGGGGTGTTATAGTCAGCTGCAGAAAGCAAGAGGGAGGTAGAAGATGCTGACAAGGCTGCTGAGGTGGCGGATGATATGGCAAGAAAAAATGATAAGGCAAAAGGTGTTTCAACTCCTAGGCTGAATGAGGGAGGTGAGGTAGAGGTAGGTGGCAGTTGGTTTCAAATATTAGTGGTGAAAGAGACTAAAAAGTGCATGGGGAAATCAAATGAAACAGGTTCAGGCGTGAGTGAAACAATGATGGTTGTGGAAAGTTTACAGCAGCAGCAGATACAGAGGTGCAATCATGATTTGGGAAAAGTTGTTGAGGTTCAAAAAGATGATGGGCAGGTAGTCCTTACAGGCTTTATTAGATGCTTAAGTGAAACCCAAAAAGCAAGACCTAGAATTAGTTTGGGGTTTGCTTTGGGCCAAGACCAATCAAAGTCCCAGCCCATTGAACTAGTCCAGTACAAGTCTAATAGTAATGGACTAAGTCATATCTTGATAAGTACTGAAGGAGGACTCAAAGGGGTGGGCTATAAATCCAAAAGTAACGACACAATTAGCGCCTCTAGTGGTGGTTCCATTAATAACCAGTTTAAGCAAGGCCCAAGGAAAGCGATCACAAAAAGAGGGCCTAAACAACCATTGGCAGAAGGTGGGTTCTCTAGGTTGGTTAAAAGAATTGGGCAGAAAGGAGTGGGAGTAAGAAGAAGCAAGGCTTATCAGAAAAAAATGGTGCCCAGATCTATAGCAGTGCAAAGGCCAAGTGTAATTACCAGTCAAAATACTTGTGAAGCAGATAAACTATAAAAGGCTCAAGAAACATTACTTATGGGGAAAAGCCTGGGGATCAACTTCAAGTGACAGGAAGTAGAAATTATTAATAAAATTGCACAACTGGAGGAGAAAGATAGGGTGAGAGTAGAAAGGGAGGACTGATACAACCTCAAAAGCGGTAATGTTAGGAGGTTACAGATCTAAAAAATGTTGCTATGAAGATTCTAAGATGGAATATTAGAGAGGTTGGAAGACCTGAAAAAATGAGAAAGATTAAGAACCTGATGTTTGACAGGAAAATTGATATAGCTTTGATTCAAGAAACAAAAAAGTCAAGCATGACCAATCTAGTGGCTAGGAGTTTGTCGCCAAGAGAAAAGATGAAATTCATGGTTATGGA